GGTAAAGCTGCCCTGGCGTTCTGCGCTCGGAACCGCGCTGGGGGAAATCAAGAGGGTTCGGGGTTGTTCTCCCCGCCAAGTCACCGAACTTCCCTTTAGGGGACTCGCTTCCCTTCGGGGGGCTCTGCCCGCTCCTCCCCCAGCTTCCCCGGGGTGAGGAAAGATCTCTGGATGGGAAAGGGAGAGATGCTAAAATTGTCCAAAAATCCCTGTAACAGAAAGCTGGGTTTCTGGGGACAAGAGGGAGTCCCCACGGGGACAGGAAAGCAAGGCTTTATGCCATCATTTCACCGGTCTGTTGTTTTTTTTTCCAAAGATGGATCACTATCTAGGAGTTAAAATCCTCTTCTTGTACTTGGTGGGGTGTTGATCATACAAAGATRACACAGTTCAGCATTTCCACGTAACAAGCCCAGAACATTAAAACCATTCAAATTCAGTAGCTCTTGAATAGGTAACAGGCAATATTAAAATGTCTTTGCTCCTTCAGATCTCTCTGACAAAGGATTTGGGAACTGTCTCTTATCTCTTTCTCGCACCATTTTCCTACCTAGGTTGTGTTTTCTGTTTACAAGCCTGAAGATGGCTGCTGCTGCTTCCTGCAATGTGGAAGAAGATGAGAGCCTGAAGGGATGTGAACTCTATGTTCAGAAACACAACATCCAACAGATTTTAAAAGAATGCATTGTAAACCTCTGTATAGCAAAGCCRGACCGACCCATGAAGTTCCTCAGAGAGCACTTTGAGAAATTAGAAAAGGTCAGTGGTTTTCAGGTGACTTCATGCTTCCCATTTATAAAAAGAAAAAAGATTGTTTAAAGATTTTGAATGTTTTGGTACATTTTTCTCTTTCAAATTTTCTTTTCAAAATGTCATGCAGCTGTGAAAATGCAAACAGTTAAAAGAAAAAACAACCCTTCATTTGCAGATGTCTACTATAATATTGGCTATTGTTTAGATTTTTTTTTTACACACTGAGATTGTAATATCTCATCAAACTGCACTTGTTAAAATGATCTGAATGGATGTGAGTACACTTTGTATCCTCAACTTTCATCTYTTGGAAGAACCTGTCTGTGGGTGCAGAAGATGCTGTTCTCTGTTTATTCCAGTGTCAGGTGGTRGGGTTTTTGCTTCCCCTAAAATTGAACAAAATTTCAATTTTTCAACTTGCTAGGCAAACAGCAAGTTCCTAAAATCATTGAACAGTTTGRTGTTTAATTTCACTGCTCCTCCTGTCTGCAGTGCTTATCCCAGGATCCTCTGATGGGGTTAAGACCTCACTGACTGTGAGTGTAGAGAGAGGAAACATTTTAGAACATTCCCAGACAAATTCTTACTAAAACCTTTGTGTGTCWAAGAGCACACTATATGTTGTAGGCTTAAGAGATGAAGTTTTTGTAGTTCCTTCCTTCAAGAGTAAATAATACATAAGGCTGATATATTCCCAGTGATGTGAAACATTTAATATATCTCACTCTCTGCTTTTCAGGTACCTTTTTCTATAGGTGAGTATATGCCAAATTCGTGTTGTTTTAAAAAACATTTTGGTGGCAGCTCAGTAAGAATTCCTGGGACATCAGAGAGGGGTAGAAAGTACAAGATGATTTTTAATTGTAATATTTATTTTGGAAAAGAAACAGTCTGTTAATTCTATATATTCTAAACTTCTGACAGCCAAGACCCGTTCTGAGAGAATCAAAATTGTTGGATTTCCTTTATCGTGTTGTGAAATATTATCCATCATAACGTGTGGAATTTTGGACTTCCTGACAAGAAGGATAAACATCATCCTTGCAAAAAAAAAATCAAATACACTGTAGTATTATGGAATATGCTCTACAGCTAGAGGGATTTCTTGAGGAGCTGTGCAGGGAAAATTTGGCTTTATTGATGTTAACACAGTGCACAGAGCCCAGCCTTGAGAAATTACATCTTCTTTCACGAAATCTCCCATTATTTCCCAAAGAACAGGCAGATGCCAGTGTTCTGTGGGACATCAATCAGGATKCCAGCTCAGGAGCTGATGGGCATCACTTGTCTCAAAATGGAAGATGATTTAGGCATCAACTGCAGGGAATATTGTGCTTGCTGTGGGAGGACACAATCTTGGCATTGCTCTCTGGAGCAGCCTGGGGGCTGAATGCTSAGCCTGGAGGCTTTAGGCTGATTCTGGAGCTTTCCAGCACTRTAATCCTTGTTCCCACAACACTCTGACTTCCTCATTTCCCAACCAATTTCCTTGGGATGGATTGTACTGGGAAGGATTTTCTGCTGTAGAATAATATTTTGATTTTGTTGGTTGCGTGATAAGGGTTGAAGGAAGGTTTCTAAAGAGAGAGAAATCTTTCAGGAAGTTTTATCCTGTTTTTATACACTTGTCAAATACAGGTGGTTTGAAGAATCCTAATGGAATTGTGAATTTAATAATTGTTCATTAGATTTTTGTAATTATGCAATACTGACGTGGCACATTTGCTGTTAGCTCCTTTAATTTTGGTCCTGTGTAGGGAGAGAAGTGAAAATCTTTGGGTTTAAGCATGATTTTCTAAACAAAGTCATGCATTTTTTCCACCTTAGTATGGTAATTTGGTGTTATTTTCCAAACTCATTAGACAAACAACACATTCCACTGAAGAGAGCAGTAGAATAACAGTTTATCTGTCAAAAAAATCACGTGGGAAGTTTAGAGATGAAGTGTAGGATATTTTTCAAGCGGTTAAAAGATGAGCTTTTAGAAAACAAGTAGAGCTTGATCCACACCAATGTACTGGAGCTGCCTCAGAGGTGAATTTTTTAAAAAAGTGTATYTAATTTTGCTAATTYTTAACTCCATCTTATAAAATCAACYCATRAAAGCAAGATTTATTATGATWTGTGGGATCAGAGTGGGTGATAAATGCTTTTCACCTTCTGATGGCATCAAAGCTGGGTTCATTGCCTTTACCCTGCTCCTGACTGGAAATGGGGCAGGGTCCAACCCTGACCCCACAACACTCACTGGCCCCAGGTATATCACTCCTGACTCTGACAAAGCTCAGAACAGGTTTATTTTGGCAGGAATTGTTTCGAGCTCTGAGAGCAGAGCCAGGGAATGAGGAATTCTTGAGGGATTGGACTGGCTTGGGTTGGTGTTCAGCTCATGGCTGARCCACTCTGTCCAGCCTGGACATGGCCTGAGAGGGCTGTAAAGTGAGAACATCGATAAATACACAAGAATAAAGTGCTGGAGACTGAGGTTTGATGTTTGATGTTTGATTCTGAAGGAGTGCCAACATAAGAAATACTTACTCAATTCTTTCTAACTTTGCAGCTTATTTGTATCAAGTACAATATCAAAAACCTGCAAATAACCCCTAAAAGAACTGTGGGACAACTTTATTACACATTTTTCTGTTCACTTCATACTGGCAAGACCTGCTTGTCTTGAGTTGCCAGTAATTGCTGGGAACCAGCCTACATTTCCATATTCTGAATTTTCCAGGTCCCTTTTATGTGCTGTGACCTGCGGACTTCAGGATGACATCTACYCTGATCACATTAACAGTTACTTTGTAAAAATCTCTAGCATGCCCTTGAGCACAGGAAAGAGAGGTTTTAAAACCTGTGCTGTTTCCTTGGAACAATTTGTTTTACCTTTTCCTGTGACTGTGTAGATCATCTTGGTGGATGGAGTGAGGAAAACCTTTCCCTTAGGGACAGTGATTGGGTGTTTTTTGGAGTGGGGGAACAGATGTAGCTAAGAAACTCTGGAATTATTTTAACAGCTGTAATTAAGTCCTGTTTTTACTTGAGGACTAAAGAAGGCATTGCAGAAAAAAACAGGGTATTTTATCTCTGGTTCTGATGTTATGTGAAAAAGTTAATTACTGAGAAATTACAGGCAAAGCTTTGTATTTTTAGCCCTACCGAGACTGCAAAAATTTCATTAGTGTCAGGCTGTTTAGTGCCACGATTMTATGATCAAAGGTGGAGTTGTTTTGCCAGGCTAAGCTCAACCCTTCTGCTGCAAAGAATTGGAATAAAGGGTGGAACTAATTTAGAAAATGGCACAAAAGGAGAGGAAGCAGCAGCATGTGTTTGGGCATTGCTGCAGCCGTTTTCACCCATTTGTGAGTATTTCAGAGCAGGGCTGTTCTGGCTGAGCTGGGCTTTGCTGGCACCTTCTCCACCTGAGCTTTGTCCTGGCCCTTCTGCTGCGCTCAGCAAACGCTGCTTTGCCCTAATAAAATCCCTGTCTGTGGATCGGCGGTGTTCTCATGGATCCAGGATGATTCCGCGTGTCTTAAGGCTCCATCGGAAAGAGAATTTTAGGAAAAAAAATGAAAATCCGCGATAAATAACGCGATAAATAACGCGGGAGGCGTGGCGCCGCCTGGCGGCTCTGTGCGGAACTGCAGAACCGCGTCCGTGGGACCGACCCCGAAAAATGAGTGAAAAACCACAAATTCACCCACTCTCGGTAAAATACACCGTATTTTCTKATCAGAAAGAGTTTCAGAACCGAAAGTGTCGGAGCATCAAAATTTGAGCGCTAGGCTTTTCTTCTGCAGCGGTATTCTCTCCCAGATTTTTTTGTTTTTCTGTAGCAGTATTCTCTCCTAGTATTTATATTTTGTTGCAGAAAGGAAGCTTTCGATCAGTGATTTCTTCCAGAACCTGTCTAAACCGATGAAATTCATTCTTAAAAGTACAGGTAATTATTGTGCAAAGTAGAACTCACTCTGTTGAGATAAGCTGGGGAGAGGTTATGGATTAGAAGGAAAACCATTTGGAGTAAAAACCATAGAAAAAAATGCATTAATTAAGCAGTTTTATAAAGCCTAATAAGACAAATATTTCTGTGTGCTTCAAGGCTTGCAAAGCAGCTGAGTGGTGTCTCAGAGACATTGGTAGAACATGCAGGAACTTACCTGAGATGTTGATGGAAACACAGTAGTGGGAGCACCAGGTGCCCTTTTTGCCAGAGTGAGCCCCAGGCAGTGTTGTGAGCAGTGAGATTTCCTGCAAAAGGTAAAGGAAAAAGAGGTGAATTTTTAAAACCCCCTCAGGCAAACTTTCCTACACTCAGAAGGCTCAGGGAAGGATGGGCGATGAAGGAATAAGAGCAGGAAGACATTAAAAGCTTTTTTTCCTCAGAAATCAAATTAGTTATGAGCAAACCAAATGATCTTTTGAGCTTTTTGTGTGGAGCATGTTAGAGCTGAGCTCCCTGTTCAGTTTGTGTGCCTTCCCTGTCCCAAAGACAAACCCTCACCAAAATAGGGTGCAACAATGGGAATTCTGCCTGGAAGCGCCTTTATTTCACATCTCAAACTCTCCTGTTTTACTTACTCCACTTTTCTGTGGGCATGTGTCCTCTTACACAAGCTCTGCRTGCATAGATTTGTTGTTTGGCTGGATTTTAAGAGTCGGAAGTGTTGGCTGTGATTCTCTTTTGATTATATAAGCTTTGGAGTATCAAAAAATAGGGTCTGTGTTTTGTAACATAACCTCTTGCTTTGCTGTGAGGCTCGTGTGAGAAAGCTGTGATGGGCTGAGATACTGAAGATGATGGTGGGGGGCAAGACAAGAAGCATTTACAAATTTCAGGAGGTAAAATAATGGCAGCAAAGGGTCTGGGGAAGGTCAGCAGTGCAGCTGGACTGTCACCAGAGCAGGTGGATTTGGATTTTTGGCAGGAGAATGTTGCCTGGATTGGAAATTGGGAATGAGCTGAGATGGATGCATTAATAGCAATCAAAGTGGGGGTAACTGTGGAGTGGGTAAATACCTTAGCAAGATAATTCTTAGGGGATATTAAAGGTAATTCTTAGAAGTGCTGTAGGGGAAAAGGTAGCACGTGCCAGGGAACAGCAGTTGGGGTTGTGTGAATAACAACAAAAATTGTGTGATTTGTTACTTTGAGTCCTGCAGCATGGGAAATACTGTTCAGGTATTTATTTCAAGCAGCAATWGTGAATCAAATCCTGGTGTCAGAGGTTAATGGGAAGGGCAGTGCCAGTGATGGTGTGGGAAGAAACTGGAACAAGGCCAGAAAAATGGCATGAATGGATTTGTTGCAAACATCAATGGCAAAACAGATATTTATCATCCATTTTTCTTGCAGTCTTAGAGGTTGTGAGCTGGTGCTGGTTTTCTGAGCTTGGATAACTCACCTCCCCTGGCAGTGAGCCCAGTTGTGTGTTGGTGACCTGCCACTTGTCACTTGTGTCCTGCTGGGGCTCCCAGATGCTCCCTCCTSCACCCACTCCTGTCCCAGCTCTCAGTGGAAATCCTCCCTGCAAATTTCCTGTGGGACAGAGGCCAGGCAGGCCCTGGCATCCCTGTGGAAGGATTGTTGGTTTGTGGGGTGTGCAGAGAGCTCAGCATCTCTGTATTCTCCTTTGGGCAGCCTGCGGTGCTGCCAATCTGAGTTATCTGAAAAAAACAGAATTATGGGATTTTCCCAGAGCCCCACGTTCCATCCCTCAGCTTTCTGGGGTTTGAGGCAAGGCTTAAAGGAGTAAAATTCCCTTTGCCTCATCCGTGTCAGCCAAAGGAACGGGTAATCTGGTTCGTCTCTGTGCTTGGGAAATCCAGTYCAGTGTATGAATTGACAAAGTCTTGCAACTCTGACCTCCTTTCTTGAAGGTTTTCTGCACTGTTTCCTACTCCTGTTACTCTCTCTTCAGGGATTCCTCTTCCCATTTTATTCTCTATTCCACAAGCATGTAATTTGGAGAATAACCTCCCTGTTGGCCAGCTGGTGCTGGGCCAGCCATCATCTTTCAGAGTCCTCTGGAGCCTACCTTGGATCTYATTTGTTGGAAGGAGTCCCACTGACTGTAAATCCATTGTATGGCAGAAATTCTGGAGCAGGGAGCACCTTTGTTGTTTATGGTGATAACAAGCTTGCAAAGCAGAGCAAGATGAAGAAACTTATTTAATTTATCAGCATGTGACTTCTGCTAGGTTGTCTGTACAAGAGACAGCACAAACCAACTGAGGCATTAACATCTGTGATGTTGGAGGGTGAGCAAAAGAGGTTTGTTGTTTTGCTTTCTCAGCCTGGAGTTGCTGCAAAGATACTCCTGAAATTTATATACTTTTATACAGTTTTTTACAATTTATACTTTTTTTACAGTTTAAATATTCATTGTTTACCATGAAGTGTAAGAAAGAGTTGAGCAGGTTAAGTGTTGGATTGATGATACCTGTACACACATTGTGGTTRATGCTGCTCTCATTAAATTTGTAATTTTCTTTCAATTTGACAGTCGCAATGTGAAAGAAGGACAAACTGAGTGTACCCAGCAATTAGCTCCATGGCTAAAAGGTGTTTTCTTGTCTCTGTTTGCCTTGCAGGAGGAATGCAAGCAGATCCTGGCTCGGCAGAAATCCAGCTCTCAGTCRGATTCTCACGATGATGAGATTTCCCCTCCGCCCCCCAACCCGGTGGTGAAGGCACGGCGCAGGAGAGGAGGGGTCAGTGCAGAGGTGTACACCGAGGAGGATGCAGTGTCCTACGTCAGGAAGGTAATTTGCACCAGCTCTTTGMTTCTGAGATGCCCCAGACAATCAGGGGATTTGTGTTTTGTCTCTAATTTGGACTCCTGGGCCAGCCCTGGTGTGCTCAGGCTGGTGTGAGCATGGCCTGACCATCTCCACACTYGAGTTTTTTTGCTGTTTCCCTACCAGGGTCAGGAATTCTCACCTATTTTCTTGACACTCACTGTCTTCAGTGTCTTCTGAGTTTGTTCAGAACCTCACACTTCTGGGAAAAAGTTTTTCTATTGCTTCATCTTCTCTTTGTTTGGGGTTTTTTTTCCTCCCAAAAGTCAATTCTGCCTCAAGGTTTCTTGAACCTAAGTCATTTAGGTTTCCTAGACCACTCAGGCACGTATTTCCCAAATTGATTGGGTRCCACTTGAACTCACTGAATTTTGGAAGTCTGTTGACCATACTTGGGTAATTTTATGTGACCATTGTCATTGAAGAAATGCCAATCCCAAATCAGGTAATTTCTTCCCTAGGAGCTCTAATTTGGACTTCTCTCTTTAACCACCTTTTTCACAAAAATACCTAGCTATGTTACATCTTTGACATCTCTTAGTAACTGCAATTTTTTTTTTTTTTTAAACTGGCTAAAACTTTCAAARGTTATTAAAAGAGAGACATTACAATAGCATATGTCATGTTTGTTTAGGGAGCCAGGCTCAAAATGTATTTCATAAGGCTGACAGATGCTGCTAATGTGCTTTTGTGCACGCCTGGAGTAGCTTGAACTCAAAGAGCTTTTTCTTTATGGGAATGCATTTTGTCAGTCACTGTTTTTTGGCAGAATGCTTTTTGCCTTTGCAGTCAGATGTGCTTTTGTCATCTGCTTATGATACAACTTCACTGGCTGCTCTGGGGATTTCTGTCCCGAGAAAATAGGAATTAGGAGAGCCATTCATCCTAAAAACAAGTTTGTAAGAGTATTCTTGTGGTGGTTAAATAATTTGCAAGTGTATGAATTTTAACAGTGTTGTGGTCAAGCCATTCATGAACTCCCTGCACTGTTAAAAAAATAGTGTGATACTTCAAAAGCCACTTTAAAACATTTTTCTCTCTGTGCATTTTGCAATATCCCCCTAAAAAATCTCCATGAAGAGATCACATTTGTTTCTGCTTATTATGGGCTCCATCTGACTCTTCTGAAAATCAAAGGAAACATTCCTTCCCAACCCCCTGAGTAATTCTTTTATGTTTGCAGTGGAACCTGAAGTCAACTTTGTTTTCTTCATTTCTCRGCAGTGATGTCAGTGAGTCCTGACAGTAGCATGAGTAGGCAAGAACCAGAAGCAGCAATAAAGATCATATTCTGWGTGTTCTGTGGCTGGCCCTGTCATGATTTTAATTTCCTAGGAACTGACAGAGCTCAAATAATAATAATCTTTTGGTGGATGGTTTCTTGTAAAGCTACAGATGCTGCAAGGAATATGGAACCAGCACTGGGAGGATTTTTTGTCTTCTGCCATGAAATGAATCCCATGGACGTGTGCTGGTGACAGATTTCCAGAATACAGAAATAAAAGGAGACACTGAAAGGACAAATGATGAAACAAATTTAATTTAAAAGGGTGAAAAGCGAGGCAAAGATTGCATTAGATTATTGCAAACAGATGGAGTTTTAGATGGCAGTCAGGAAAAACTGCTGGCTGGAATTCAGGTGCTGGATAGAAACACATCTGGGTCATAAGCCAGGTTGAAGGATCCTTGAAAGGGTGAGCTATAGAATGAGCAGAGCTGGAGGCACTGAAATGAGCTGTGTCCCTGGAGAAAAAATCAAAAGAGATTCAGCTCTGTGATTTGAGCAAGCACATGGCGTGGCTCCATTCTGGGGAAGATCTCTGTGCAGGGTTAGTTCATCCTTGAACCAGAGAAAGCACCATTTGTCAACACATCTGACATAACACAGTGAACAGCTAACAGARCAGGAATCTTGCTCTAAAGAGGATTATCAGCTTGAAGGGAACAKTCAGTGATTAATTGGAAGAGTGATGGAAGAAATGGTCAAGTGGTTCTTCCCAGTATTTTATTCTGGTCAGATGTCTGGTTACACCTAAAGGATCTCCCCTGTGTTTTCTGTGTCCCTGCCCCAACAATTCCCTGCTGCAGATTTACTCCCTGGAGCTGGATATCTCAGTGGTTTCATTATTTACCCTTTTGGCTCATCAGCTGGGCTATTCTTARCAGAGCAAGGTTCAGGCCTGCAGTTCAGTTCAGTGCTCCTTTGATGGGGTGAAAACCAAGAATAAAACCCTGGCTGAATGCTTATTAACACTGAGAAATGTTAGCTGTAAGATTAGATTTGGTTTCATTCTGGTGCAAATACACACTTTGTACATGTGTGCTTCTCTAATTTGAGTAATCTGATGACTGCAGCAGTCAATACAAGAGCCAGAGTTTAACTTTAGATCTTCACAGAGCTGTGTTTCCCTGTGAATTAAATGTTGGTAGTTCYTTGAGACAATTGGTTCAAAGTTTTTTGAGACAATTGKTTCAAAGTTTTCCCCTTTGAGACATCCTCCTTTTGGCTGGATGGGTGGAACTTTGCTTTTCCAGGATGAGGGAAGGAAATTATCTACACATGAACACATGTGGTAACTTGAGTAACACAATTACACTATTTCCATCATAAAAAAAAATGTAAAAGGTGCCCCTTGTCACACCTTTATTGTGCAGTAATTGACAAACAGATGCTGATTTTCTGATTGGAGCAAGGTTTATTTAGCACTTAAAACTTTTGCTGTGTTTGATTCTGTTCTGTTACAAGTTACTACTTACTAGTTTTCTGAAACTAGTAAGGAAAATCACATTACTGAAGACAATGGGTATCTTTGACAGGTCATCATTTTGTTAGAAATTTCTTGTGCTTCTCATAATCTCAGAGTTTCTGGCTGGCATAAAAGACTTGGTAAGATTATCTGCAGATATCTTTCCTAGATAAAAAAATCAAAAGCCTAACTTTCCAAGGTGGAAATAYTCCTGAATTTCAACTTTTATTTTGACCAAATTAATGCACAACAGGACTTGTGACATCTCTCCAATTAACAAAGGAAGATTTCTTTCATTCTCAAATGCAAGTTGTTTTTATTTGCCATGAAGCCAAGGATTTTGACTCAAGTGGGCCTGTCAGGAGTTTGGYTCCTTATACCACAGCCAGTACTGAAAAGTGTGGTGAGATTGACACATTTTTACCTTTTTCCTAGAGAAACAYTGCTAATTYCCCAGTTTTAAAAGTAGCTYRCTTCTRGTATTKTTTGKAGGGAGGAGGAGGAATCTGAAATACATTTCCCTCAGTCCAAGTGATTTGAAAGGAGGCTGCACAGCTTCCAGTACCTGCTAATTATTGTATTTTATGGATATCCTTCTCCCCAGYCATCCCTGATCTGATATTTCCTTTCTTGGTGTCATTTTGAGAAGAAAAATTCTTACCCTCACATTATCAAAACTGTAATTTATTACCTTCTGARTGGCTTTATATTATAGCCTAATCCTGTCTCAGTGCCTGAAATTGCATTCTTTTTCTCAAATAGTGACATTTTCTCTAAATTTCACAGATTTTGAGGGATAAACCAGGCATGGAATTACCCTTCATTCCTTTCTCCACAGGTTATTCCAAAGGACTATAAAACCATGACTGCTCTGGCAAAGGCCATCTCCAAGAACGTGCTCTTTGCTCATCTTGACGACAATGAACGAAGGTACGAGGTGCTTTATGGTTTAAGGGAATCCATAACTTGGTGTGAGGACAAGAAATTAAATAAAATTTCATCTCAGGGTTCAGAAMTGCTCTCACTGATTCATTTGAGTGACATTAATTACACCCCCAAAGATGCTCATGGTGTTGTGACAGAGGGTAAAATCTCAGTGTAAAAAAGGGCAAAGAGCAGGTTAGAATGTGTTCAGACATATTTAATATTTTCAGAACAGATGGGCCTGATAAACTTTATTCCAGATTACTTAAGGAATTAGCTAAAGCAACCTCAGAAGYGTTTGTCATTAAGGAATTAGCTAAAGTAATCTCAGAAGCATTTGTCATTACTTTTGAAACTCAGGGAAGGCAGGTCAAGTGCTGAATGAGTGGGAAAGAAAAAATGTAATATCTGTAAAGAGATGAAAGAGAATGACAGGTAAATTATTTTGTTCTTGGAAAAAGTGAAACAAACAACTTATGTGTAAGCACCTGGAGGAGACCAAGGAGTTCAGCAACAGCCAGTGTGGCTTTTAAAAACTTGAAAATGTCTTTTTTGAACTGATAGCAAATTGTACATCTGGGGGAGGCACAAAGGAGACCAAACAGCTCAACTCCCAGTAATGTTTTTGACATGAATGTTTGTGATGGTTTTATAAAGAGTCGAGGGAATTGTGACTTCAGTGAAATCACCATGGAATCTGTGCAGAAGTGATGGAATTGCTGTACCAAATACCAAATTTCACTGGTCCATCATTCTRATGGAAAGGTGTATTGAAATCAATAATGATTTTCATCATTATTGCCATTGGTAGCCTYGCTGGGACAGACTGTGAGTGTGGAATTTTTAGCTGATGTGAAGATGGGAGTGGCTGCTAAAACAATGAGAGGCAAGGGTAGAATTCAGAATTATTCTGACAAATTGAAGGAATGCTCCAATAAAAGCAGGATGGATTGGCACTGAGTCAAGTGCAGAGCAGCATTCCTTAGGCAGGAAAAACACCTTTATAACCATAAGACAGTTTTAAACTTTTGGTAGTTCTTTAAAAAAAACTATGTGAAACTTATTGTGACTCATGTTCTGGATAATAGCCCCTAATGTCAAGATTTTTTTGAAAATACTGATGTTTTACTGGGGTAATTAAACAGGAAAGATTTCAGCTGCACACAGTGTCCAGTCTGGGCACTGCATTTTAAGGATAAACATTTGGAGGAAGTTCATGGAAGAGTGGTGGAACCATCACAGACCTAAATAACATCACTTCTGAAAAAGAASGGGATTGTGTGGCCTGCAGGAGAAAAGTTGGGGCAGAGGGATGCAATAATAACTTAAAGTTATGTGTGAATAATGGTATAAGTGGCTTCCAATGGCCGGGTAAGGCGAATTTCCTTGCTGAGCTTACCCATCCTGGTTCCCATATGATCTCATGATTCAAACCCAGATTCAGACCCATCCTGAAGGTCATTAAGGGTTTGCATCAATGATTTCCCCCCTCCTTTTGGTCAGTGCTGCCTGACAGCTTTGCCCACAGTGAGTTCTGAGCCGCCTCTCTGCTGATTTCTGTCCCTGCAAAGATAGAATTACACCCACAACTTGGCAGCCTTTTATTTCCTCTCCCACTCTTGGATATCCAGCAGATTAACGTCCTCTAAGGCCTCCTCGTTGTGAAATGGTGTGTAAAGTCAAAATTGGTGACAAGGGGCCATCAATTTTTAAAAAAAGTGACCTTTTTTTAACCTTTTCTGATTAATCTCTTCTAACCCAGCAGTGTAGCTACCAAGATTTTTTGTCATTCATCACGTAATGCTGGGATACAAGTACACCCACTTGGCTCTGCCGTGATGCTGAATAGTAAAGGGGAAGAAATTATTCATTTTTTCTCATGTGGGTAAAAATAAGAAGCAATTTTTCACCGTTTCACTGGCAGGATGTTGTGTCTCTGCTGGAGGGGGGCGGTGAGGAAGTTCAAAGGTGAGCTGCTGTGGGAATCATCACCCAGAGCTGATGATTGCCAAGGAGGAGATGGAAATAGGACTGAAATAGGGGAGAGAGCAGGGCTGGAACAGTGTCACTCTGCTCTCAGGATGTCACCARTGCCAGCCTGCTCTGCTGAGTCATGAGCCACAGCTGCCAGTCCCTCCTGACCACAAAAAAAAAGCAGAGAGATTCAATTAAATGTTCACCATATCTGCTGTGTCAGACTTGTTCATCAAGGAGTAAAGAGGGTAGATAAATATTTAGCTAATGCTGTAATTTTTTGGAAGTGTTTATTGGTAATGGACGGGCAGCTGTAAGGCTTGTAACAGCTTTCAGAATATTTTTGTGTATTTTATTACTTGCATTATTAATAAATTGGTTTCTTTGAACCAATGATGGTGTGAAATGGCTTTGAAAGCAAGAGCCAGAAAAATGGAATTTAATGCTTTTACTAAAACGCTGAGCTCTTCTAAGGGCACAAAAAAAGTACCAACAAATGAACTTGAAGACAAAACTTCTGTATTTTTTCCAGTGTTGCATTTACTCTTGCATGTTCCCTGCATGGCAAAGGTGGGAGAATAAAGGGCATTTTTAATATCTATGCCTGTTAGGACCAAGATGTAGTGATGAACATTGGCACTTTGCAGACCAAGTTCCTCAGCCTACTTTGCATTTCTCAATTTTCCCCCGTTGCTCCATGTCTTGCTCGTTTCTTTAAATTTTTCATGGCAGTGGGATATTTTTGAGTCCTACTTAAGAAATGCTGCTTTGGCTGTGAATCTTCAGCATATGTTCATGCCATTGCTCGCCCCTACCCTAATATTCTTACCTGTTGTATATTTACTGTAAATATATCTTATTTTCTCAGATTATTTCTTATATTTGTAATCATTTTACAACCTGGAGTTTTTTTAAGTGCTTACAGCTCCTTTGCAGCAAGGCATTGTCTTCAAATTCAGAAAAAACACTCTTCATCTGGGTCAGTCATGACTTGGGTTGGTTTTTTTTTTCAGCACAGGCATAATTTATCATGAGAAAAGTGGCTTTCCATAGCTAAAATGTGAATTTTAGTTTTTGTCCCGTTGGTCTCATATTAAAATCTTCTTGAAACTTCTGGTGATTAGCAGATTTCAAGGACATTATTACTGCTCTAAGCTTTATTCACTCCTGCATAATACCATGTTTTATGAAAGCCCTGGCTGCAGGCCAGCTGGAAAGCCTCATATATGTGGAAGAAACCTAAGAMGGCACCATTCAGGAGCAAGATATTTTAGCAACAGGATGCCACAGCCATGACATATTCACTACACATCCTGTGTTTTCCTTGCATTTGTAACTTAACTCTTTTGTTAAAAAACAAACATGGGTTTTTGTGATTTGTGTATGCCTTCAGTGTGCAGGAGAGTGCGAGAAAAATTCCCTTCCCGTGATCCTGCGTGGGTTTTTCTGTGTTGTGATGAACACAAGTTGGATGTTGAGGGGGAATATTTACTCTGACTGCCTTAGGTGTCCAAGTTTGGTGCTCAAAATGCTTRTTCAGACAGCTCAGGGTGTGGTTTCACCAGAGATTTGAGCTGAATTCTGAGCTGGTATCAAAAGAGGAAATAACCCAGTTGCTCTCATGGCCAGGTGAGCCAGAGCAGCTCTCTGAAAAGTGATCCTGGAGGTTATTTCCAATCAGAACAGACCCTTCTTCCCACCCTGGCTGCTGAAATACTTGGGAAAGTGGAAGGAAGGAGTGGGTTGGGCAGGAGGGGCCCAAATCAAACCAACTGATGGCAAAACTGCACCTTAATTTCCTTTACGAGTCACTGGACAAGGGCAGAGGATGGAAATAGATGTGTGGRTGCCTTTCATGAGCCTTGCCAAGAATGCCCAAGATGTTGAGCTRAACCACTTGGAACATAAGAGATGAAAGGAAAGAATAAAAGATGAGAGAGAAATGGCACAGCACAGTGGGGGCTGGAAGGATTTGCTGATCCAGAGCGTGGCTTCCTCGGGTTAAATTAGGATTTTTTTGGTGACCAGAATCAGACAGGATGCTTCACCCTCCTTTTTGGGAATGGCAAAAGAGAGAGGAGATGCAGCATGATGGCAGAAGCATCCAGTGAAGGTTTGYAAAKGCRKGAATGCYCCACCCRTGCTGGAATTTCAGGAGATTGTCAGCAGAGTTTGGGGGCAGAGGAGGTGGGAATGTGCAAATTATGCACACGGAACAGGTTTGGTACCAAAGAATCTGCTGCAAAACCTCTCTGTGGGATATTTTTTTCTGCTCATCAGTGGTTTTGGATGATTTCCCCGTCCTGTGAATTCTACTTGTAAACAACCAAAAAGAGGAAACTCAAATCAACCATGACAYGCTAAACAAAGCTTTTCTTCTTTGGGTAACACCAAGGTATTTTYCAGGTAATCTGCCTGGCAATCTAGCTTTTCTTCGTGCCTTTAGTGTCTCTTTTATGGCCTTGACTCCTCCCTGTATTTAAAAGTTTGTTCTTTAACTGTGAGTTGTTCCATTGACTTGCTGTGGATGTCTAAGGAACTATTCTCGTGTTTAAATGGAAGCACATTCAGTCTTGCTGAACCGGAGCTTGCCAATGAGGAATACTACTTAAACTASAAAAAAATTACAGATTTTGGAGACAAGAATCATCTGGCAGCAGAGATGGAAATGAAACCAGGTAGAATTGTCCAGCCAGTTTGGAAAATAAAYGATCCAATTCTCCGTTGAAGGATTAGCTGCGAATTTAGCACTGACTTTATTTTCCAGTCCATCCATCTCGTTTATCCCAGAATTATTGTCTTTAATTACCATTGTGGTGCCTGCAGGCAGCAGCCTTTAAATTAACCATGCAAAGTTGTGCTCTCAGCAGTCAGCAGGAGATTTTTATCTGCCTTGGTACCAATCCCCTGACTGTGCTTTTTGTGATGTCAGGATTTGGCCCCGGTGGGCAGGTTGCTCTCTGAAACAAAACTAAAAGCACACGCATTTCGGTATTTATGGGATATTTTTATCTCGAGGAACAAATAGTGTC